TTTTTCTGGATGATGATTTCAATATTGTCAAAATCAATTTTGTAACCTGATTCTATAGCGTGTAGACTACCGCTTATGGATTGCTGATGATTTTTCAAGTTTTTCTAGTTCAATCGGATTTGTCAGTGGTTGATCGAAGAGATGCTCTACGGTGTTCATTTCTTCTGATTTTGATTTCTCCCTGGTGTTGTTTGTCCGATCTAGTATATCGCATCACATTCCAAGCATTTTATTTTATAGACATAATTAGATAGATAATCTTTCGGGATTTGGTCTTTTATATGGACAAGGTTGTTTCGTAGTGTGTCTGATGTTTTGAAGAAAATTCTAATGTCGAGCTGATTGAGTACTCTTCTGATATCGTCTGACGTCTCTGCTCTATATGGAATGATGACTGTTGAGGTTCATTTTTTCGGAATGCGTTTTTAGCCATACTTAATGTCTGTGTTGATTTTGTTGATTAAGTTCCTTGGGTACTTAAACTGCTTGAGAGTTTCAGTAATGTTTGATATTTCCTCTTCTCCTTTTTCTTTCTCATCCGTTAACAGAGAGTGTACTCGTCTAGGAAGACTTGAAACAACTGAAATCTTTGGGCTGATGGGGTGTGTTGATTTGAAGTCTAAATATTAATTGGAGTGGGTTTTCTTCCTGAATATGGATATACTAAAATGTCCGTTTTCCTTTCTCTTAACTAGCGAGGCAGTCTAGAAATGGTAGTTCACCGACATCTGCTTCTGCTTCCGAAGTGAACTGGATTCTGGGAGATACACGGTTTATTTTCTCCAGGAATGAACTGTGTAGATCTTGTTTTAGTATTACAAAAGTATCATCCACATATCTTAACCATATTTTAGGAGTGAGTATGATTGAAAAGTTGTTATTTTCGAATCTAATCATGAAAAGGTAGGCGACTATTGGGGAGACTGGTGAGTGGAACATAGAGCTTCAGCGACACATCTCCACTCTCTTCTATTCTCAGCTGTCCTCTTCATCTGGGTAGCTCCACGATTGCCCATAATCTCTTACCTCCCCCACCTCACTACACGATATCCTCCATGTCACCCTCGCATCGACCACCCACTCGTCGCTTCCAAGTGGGATTCCATTAGAGCGATGGCCTGCATTTCCCACAGTGCCATTCGACAGCCTCTTGTCAACATTTGCTGAGCAAGACTGATATACGTAGCTCCACACGAGCGAGCAGGTGAATTGATAAACACACATAGAGTTGGTCAACAGCAGGATCTTTTTCCTCCAGGTTATTGAACAGTAATGGTCGACTAGTAAAGGCTATTCCCAGAGATGCATCAGGGAATGTTCTTTTCAGGGACTGTGATATCCTTCTTTTTTCATGATATCGGAAGCTAAGTCCCCTTTGAACTCCAAGTTCATGTAAAGTATGATGATCCCCAATCATATTTTAGCTCTACTGATTTTTCATTTTTTTTCATTTTGTCTATTCAATTTGTATGCTCTTCCTTTATTAAAATGTCAATTGTTACTATTACTACTCTCACTTTGAAATTTCCCCGGTATTATTTCACTTGTTCCACTTGTCATTCTAAATCAATTCTTCTTTTTTTACAACGTTAAATTCTATGCTATTAAATTTCACACAACATTATATAACGTTTTTTATTTTATTCGATTTGTCTACTAATCCTATAATTGTACACCCTTTTTCAAGTTCTATCCATCCTATGAATTATTCTATATATGACATTAATATACATTGTTACCATGAATGACGTAACTGAGATGTGAGTGGGTAATTAGTCCACCTCAAATCAGAAAATATGTCCAATCAATCTGCTACGAATGACTGACTTTTTAAAAAAAAAATGCTTTACGTTCCCACTGGAAAACAGGGTTTCAAGGTTTGAATCTTTATTAGAAGTGGTATTGTTGATATTAGGTGGTTGGAGGCAGTTGGCAGGAACTATTCCAGCTTGAACGAGGTTTCATGGTATAGTTGGCACACACCAGTCAGTCAGTCAGCAGGGCGTGCATCTGTAACGTTGAAGGATCTCATATGCCCCCGGTTTGAGATTCGAACACGCATTAGACGTTACCATTAGACAGCTATTCGGCCTCACGATTCACCTCCTGTAGGCCTGTAGCACTAAAACTAAGTGGAAGGCTTCCTGTCGATTGCCTCCAATGATCTAAGACCAACAATTCATAGTGCACTGTGATGGCCACATTGCAAAAGTGAATGGTGATAGAATTCAATCTGTACTAAAGAAAGGACTAGATACATTACACTAGTCAAAATGTTGTTACTGTTTTTACAGAGTAAAGCTGCTAGCTGTGCGCCCCACCCCACCCCCCACAACTCAATGCTCAACCCTCCCTCTTTTTAAGGGGCATGCTGTCAGCCGGTACATTATCTGAGTTTTCTTCAAAACATCAGACACACTTCAAACCAACTTTGTCTATATAAAGACCAAATCCCGAAAGATTCTCCACCTAGTTGTGTCCATAAAATAAAATGTCCGATGTGATATACATCGAACAAACATTTCGAGAAATCAAAATCAGAAAATATGAACACTGTAGAGCATCTGTTCGACCACCAAGAAATCCAGTTAATGAACTGGAAAGGCTTCAAAAATCATCAGCTATATTTCGTCTACACGCTACAGAATCAGACCACAAGATTCATTTTGACAATATTCAAATCATCATCCAGAAAAAGCATTTCAGAAATCACAAACAACGTCTAATGTCATCAGAAGCACTTCATATCATCAAATGGAATCCAAATTGTCTGAACTGAATATGAATAATGGATTAAAACAGAATCTGACCTGGTTACAACACCTTCCTTCCCTCTCCCCCATGAAGTGACAAAATCAACACGAATGTGATAAGCAAGTTCACTATGTAAACACACACTACTTTTATAATTTCACACATTGATCATATCGAATAATCTGCACACATGGTTTTGTTATGTTTACCAATTGACCAACTGGACAACTAAAAATGACCCCATACTGAAGAACGATGATTAAGTTGTTATACATAAGCTGAGTGGATTTTGTAAATTCTGGTTAAATATTTCTACTTTGATACAGCTATTAGCATTGAATAGTGAAACGTCAGTAAAAACAATATCGTTTTGTTTTTCATTCATTGGGAAATACAAAAAGCTTTATTATAGTGAATATCATACACCCTATGCCCAGATTTATCAAACTGTTCTCTGAGCCAGCTGGATAGTTAATTTGCGAAGCTTTCATCACCCTACTAGGCGACATCTTCCTTCAGCGCATACGCTTCAATTTCAATTGAAGTGAGCTTTTTAATTTCTCCACGAGTTCACCATTAGTCATCTCTACTGGTCGGTGACCCTGGGCGTGATTGGTTGTTTTTGTGTGTTCTCACACCTTCTAGGAGGCTAATTGTATTGAAACTGGTTGTTTTTTTGACTTCAACTATGACCCTTTGTGTGTGAGATTTCCTTCTTATAGGTTGATAAATGTTGTCTATCTCGATGTGTCTATTGATTGATGATTCACTGGAATGCCAGACAGCCTTCTAGAAATTCTCTAGCATTCTTGTTGTTTCCTCTGTCTAATATTTCAACTTTGGTTGTCCCAGTCGAATTGATGTCCGTTGAATTCAACGGCTAAATATATAAACAAGTCAAAGGAACACCGATGGGATCGCCAATACCAGATTTGGTTGCAGAAGCAGTGATGCAAAGACTCGAAAACTTAATTGTATCAAAGATCAAACCCAAGATTTGGATACGCTACGTCGACGACACATTTGTAATAATCAAAAGAAACTAGTTAGATAAAACTCACAACTTAATAAACAACGTCTTCAACGACATCAAATTCACAAGACAAGAAGAATCTGAGAACCAAATCCCATTTTTGGACGTCTTAGTCAAGCGAACAACCACAGGGGGTTTAGAAACTCAAGTTTATAGAAAATCAACTCACACAGACCAAATACTGAATTACAACAGCAACAGTCCAATAACACACAAAAGGAATTGCATACAAACACTATTCAAGAGGGCCAGTCAGGACTCAGTGCAGCACACCCAACTTAAGGAAAATTGAAGAAATATATCTCATGGACGTCTTCCAAAAGAATGGATATCCACGGAATTTCATTAAAAGACATATACCCCCAAGTCAACCTATCAAACCAAAAGCCCCCAAGGAAAGCACAAAGAAAATCGCTTTACCATATATAAAGGATATCTCAAAAATCACTACAAGACTCTTCAACCCTTTAGGAATTGACGTCGTACACAAACCAACAAAGTCACTTCACTCAGTTATATGTCAACCAAAAGACTCGACAGCAAAAGAAGATAAAACCAACATCATCTACAAAATAAATTGTAACAACTCCGACGAATTATCGACGAACATAAGCCAGCTGTCAAAAGACATGATATACACTCTCTCATATCACTACATACAGACAATCACGGACATCAATTCTACTGAGACAACCAACGTTGAAATATTAGACAGAGGAAACAACAAGAATGCTAGAGAATTTTTAGAAGGCTGTCTGGCATTCCAGTGAATCATCAATCAATAGACACATCGAGATAGACCAAATTTATTTACCGATAAGAAGAAAACCTCACACAAAGGGTCATAGTTGAAGTCAAAGAAACAATCATTTCCAATGCAATTAGCCTCCTAGAAGGTGTGGGAACATACAAAAACAACCAAAGAGTCACGTTTAAGATCACCCACCAGTAGAGATGACTAATGGTGAACTCGTGGAGAAATCGGAGAGCTCATTACCAATTGAAGTCTGCGCTGAAGGAAGATGTCGCCTAGTAGGGCGATGAAAGCTTCGCAAATTAACTATCCAGTTGGCTCAGAGAACACAACCACATCAAAATCATCCACCTGAATTACAAATCTTCTCTATCATATCTATATCTCCAATATATATTACATAAACTTTTTAAATAGCATATTAAAAAAATATCAATTACTGAATCAATCAAAACTTACCCCCAGTTCAATATGATCTATAAATATGCACACAGCACGAAATCCAATTACACAGTCAATTAGTCAGTAATAACAGTAATGATCAATTGTTAAATTAATCCTTTCTCAGTAGTTTTACACAATATGTAATATGCTGTCGGTTTGTCTGCTGGTGTTGTTGATGCTTTTTGTTTTATCACAGTAAGAAATAAACTTCTTTAAATATTTATAGAGTTTAGTTTTTTTTGATATTCCCTCCAAATTTAGATGTTTTTTTGTCTTTTTGCTAATCTTATTCCATGTTCAATTGAACATGTTGAACAACAAATTTTCAATTTTTGAAAAGCGCGCTATTTAAATTCATTATCATAAGAGTAGTAAAAATAGTAATAATGGTAATAATAATTGTAAGCTTCTGTTCACTTCTCTTCACTGTATCGTATACATACACACAGAGTAATATGAATATATGTATATATGTGCATATGAAAGCAACAAATGCATTAAATTTTGAGTAACATGTTTACAATCACATGATCTCTGATGCACTCAAACATGTAGTAATTATGTATATATATTTTTTGATGAGTTAAACAATTGCTATAGTAACGATCGTATTAGTATTATTATTAGTAATAGTTGTAATGATAGGCAGTAGTCGTTGTTTTAGGGCAGAGAGACAAAATGTGTATAAATCATCCACAGGCGATCTATCTGATCCGTGATGTACTGTACTTTACTGTATGCTCAACGAATCATTCAAAGACAATCTAATTATTATGAGTCTTCAACGCTAATGTTTTCATAAGCATTTTGTGCGTGTATGTGAGTTTGTGTGTGTGTGTGTGCTTAGTGTCTCCCTATATGTGAAATTAATGCAACGGTGCGTCCGTATAAGTGTGTGTTTGTGTGTGTGTGTTTCTCTTCTAACAAACATTAACTACTAGTGTACTTGATTATTATATTATGGTGATGATTGTTCAAAGTGCACATTTCAAAATCTTTATTTCATTTTAATTCAGTCAGACTGATGATTTTTGTGAATTGTACTCACAATTAATCGATTCATTCATTCATTCGTTAGTTTGTATGTTTCTCTATACGCTTTTGTCCGTGTGCTTTTATACATCTGCACGTTTGACTGTAATTCAGAGTATGACTGAGATGAAATCACGTTTAAATTAATAATAATAATAATAAAATCCCTAGATTAAATTTGATTGTTTCGTGTGAAAGGGGTTAGGTTGATTGACTTTTAAAGGTTTCGACTGATTTGATTGGCTGACTGAATTCAACCAATCAGAATGAATACAGGTGTCATTCAGCCAATATCCATTTAACAATAATAGTAATAATAATCATAATGGTCTGAATTGTGTGTGTAATATGCATATTTGCGCAACACATTTCGAACAGTCTGATCACATATGTACTTGTCATATATCAAAATTAATAAAGAGTTAAAAGGTGAGAAAATATACTACTTAGGTTAAGTTAAAAGGACATGTTGAAGGTCAAAATAACAATGAAGACCACTAAACCAAATAACAAAGGTAATAGTACATAAGTTACGGTATCAAAACAAAATTTACCAAGGAAGGTTTAGTGTGATGACAAATTGTTGATTTGAACGCACAAAGGTGGTTTAAACTTTTAAATTGCCAGTTAAGGCTTCCACAAACTTTAGGATACGCCCCAAACACGTTTTATAGATAGGTTTGAAAAACGTGTGTTAACATCAATTTTATGACCTGTCTCTATGATATGTTTCGCAATTAAGGAGCTAGGTCTCCTGTTCTCACCATTAATAGGTTCTGAAGATTTCATTTGTTGTTTCTGGAGCCATTTAGGAATATGCTGTGAAGCCAGCGCTTACTTGCAGAGATCGATGAGTCCTTCCTATGTATGTATGTTTGTCCACATGTACATTCAAATTTGTAAATACAGTGAGATGTGGTATCATTTTTCGCATGTTCTGAGTGCTTAGATGGATGGATGTATTGGCTTTACATTCTCAATTATTATGATATTAGCTTCATAAAAAGTCTTTTTAACCGCAGCATTCAGTCCTTGTCTAGTTATCAAGCTGTGATTAGAAAGTTTAAACCACCTATATGTGTTCAAAGCAACAATTCGTCATCACATTAAACCTTACGTGGTAAATTTTTTGATACCATAGCAGATAAACTATTACCTCTGCTATTATTATGGTCCCTTGTGTTCCGAGCAGCACATAGAGGTACAACTTTATCCTACTGTGGTCCCCTCCAACTGTGTTTGTGAATCTAAGTGCACTTGAGGGAGCAAGTACATTGGAACGACAGGAAGAAGGGCTTCTATCCGGTTTTCTGAACATATTCATAAAAACCTGTGCCTGAAAGGAAGCAGATATTCTCAGAGTGGAATTACCAGGCACATTGTTGACACCGGACATCTCGTAGAGATTTCTAAGTCCTTCAAAATATTAAATAGACAAAGGACAGCAAATTTACTACGATTTGCCGAAGCGATCTCAATCAAACGATTCACACCAACCAGACATCTGCATACAGAAAAAGAGTGTGATTAACCTCTCACTATCTTGGTTTGATGACATTAATTAGTCATCTAATTCAGTGATCTCAATTCACTGAGCAAATCTCAAGCTTATAAACTGTAGCCGTTTTTGTTTTTTTGAGTTTCCATGTGAACAAGCTACAAGCTAATACTGTTCTGTTAATTAATTTTTTCTGTTTTCTATCTCACCCCTCCCACCTTTTTTCTAATTCAAAAGTGTATAAATTGATGATGAAATATTATGAGTTGATCACGGATTGATATCAGTTAGAGAACCATTGAAAACCAGGGAGTACTAGACAGCTGTTTCGTCAGCTTAGTTTGGGAATTATCGGCAGTTCACACTCACTGCACTGGTGTTCGAACCCAGGACCTTCTAGTTACAAAGCAAGCTCATATACCATTCAGCCACTGGGACCCGATTCAATGTCCAGACCATGAATTCTAACTTCTACCAATTCGTCATTTAGCGTGACCCCAACCAATGTCGTCGGTGGGAGTCCATCCTCATTCGTGACATCTGGATGGACCTCACTGGTCACGAATTCTCACTAGAACTCCAGGAAGCTCAATCCTGTAGGAAGTCACTAACGAGCATCAGGTTAATTTTCTCTAGTTTGATTTGATTCCCAAACCAGGATGAAACAGCAGCTGTCCAGTACCCTAGTGCTCGTTTTCAATGGTTCTATAATTGATGTCAATCCGTGATCAACTAGTAGAAGCATAACTAACCCTTACAAACCAAACTATGGAAGATATTGTTTTCACTGACGCTTCGCTATTTAATGCTAATAGCTTTATCAAAGTATTATTCAAACTGTTAAAATTTGTAATGCTTACATTTTGGATGCGCCGCTTTTAGAGTATTTTTCTCTATTACCATTTAAACATTAAAGTATGTTATTATCATCTATATATAACCATTGTTGTGATGTTCGAATATTGACCAAAGGGCGGGTGTACTGCTCATCAGTCCAATCCGTCCTCCTTTATGGTTGCGAGACCTGGCCACTGAGAGTGGAAGACATGAAAAGACTAGCTGTCTTTGATCATAGGTGCCTGCGCTCTATTTCCCGTGTAAAGTGGCATAATAAGGTGAGCAACATTGAGGTTAGGCGTCGAGTTCTAGGTAAACAGGGGAAATCAATCGACGAAGTCGTGAAGTTACAAAGACTGAGATGGTTAGGACATGTGTTACGTACGCCAAGTCATCGCCTCCCTCGACGAGCAATGTTAGCGGATATAGGGTCAGGCTGGAAAAAAGCTAGCGGCGGTCAAACAAAAACTTGGCTTCACCAGTCAATGAAATCCACAACAGTTGGTCTAAGCCACATAGGAAGGTGTAGACTTCCAAGCTGAGGTCGTCTGGACGGTAAAAATCAATGGTTGGAAACAATTGGTGACATGGCTCAAAATCGTTCTCAGTGGCTAGCGCAGATGCATCCACTCCCTGTGACTTATGATCTCCAATGAAACTGTTTTGTTTTTCTTAATTACTCCTTTGTCTCACACCTCTGCTCACTGTCTCTATCATGCTTTTCTTGTAGTTTCTTCTCTTGCTTCGCGTGCTACACGGAGTGTGGCGACTTGAACTCCGCACATTTGTGCAGAGTTCTATGTGGAAAAAAGACAGACAGACATATAACCATTGTAATTTCAGGTAGTGTTGTGCAGCTGATGAGGGTAACCTGTGAAATAGAATGATGATATCACATTTTATACTGCAAATCTGGTCTTCCTTTCTTCATCGAAATTTATCAAGGGAACCAAATGTATGAAAAACCGAAATATCGATCAAGTTAATAAATCACAATGTCATCTTCGTGTGAAATCCTTATGATAATAAAAGTAATACTGTCGTGATAAGAATACCAAAAAACGTTACATTGAAATTGCAAAATTACAAAATTTATTTGCATTCTGCCTCCTCCCCGTCTACTTTTCATACTCTCCAGATTGTTTCACACGAGGATGTTTCATTTCTCCACCATCTTCCAACCTCATCTGTTGTTCCGCTATTCACACACACACACAATATACTACTTGTGAATTTTTGTCAGTAGCACACGCCGCATTAGTATTCAGGTGTTTTTTAAAAAAATAAAAAAAGTTGCTACCGTAAGAAACCGACAAAGAATGCGCATATTTGCGGCCTGCCTAAAACTTAGGCTACCGAAAAACCTTCTTTTGTCTCCCACTATTGCACATATTTCCTCCCCATCGGTTTGTTTTAATCGATTGAGATATGACCTATCATCATAGTTAAATGTCAACTGACAAAATAATTAATGTCATATATAGAATAATGCATAGGATTATATATGTCCAAACCAAGTTCACTTAAAACAGTTTGAAAAAATAGTTTGGGCATTGGGTATATGATATTCACTATAATAAAGCTGTTCCTGTATTTCCCAATGAATAAAAAACAAAACGATATTGTTTTCACTGATATTTCTCTTTTAGAGGTGTTGACGGAATTATCTTACACAACCTCTAAATTATTCTCGCGTACCGAAAACAAAGCAAAAGCCAATAGTTGATCGTCCAAACTTCGTGATATATTTCGGAACCAAAACAAGCCGTTAGACGAACGCTTAGCTAGCTAGTAATCGTGCACGTGACACGACGGGGTACCATATGGCGGGGATGCTTGACCGGAAGCCTTCAGCTAAACAAGTCGACTTAAACAGTGGTGGTCAGCATCCAATGAGTGATTGCTGTGGTCAATAATTTTGGGGAATTATTTACCGCTACACTCTATTTAATGCTGCTGCTAATAGCTGCTAATATATCACATCACATTCCAAGCATTTTATTTTATAGACATAATTAGATAGATAATCTTTCAGGATTTGGTCTTTTATATGGACAAGGTTGTTTCGTAATGTGTCTGATGTTTTGAAGAAAACTCTAATGTCGAGCTGATTGAGTACTCTTCTGATATCGTTCGACGTTTCTGATCTGTATAGAGTGACAACTGCTGAGGTCCATGTTTCTGGAATACGTTTTCGACCATACTTAGTGTCAGTGTTGACTTTTTTGATGAAGTTCCTTGGGTGGATATTTTTCCTGAGAGTCTCAGTAATGTTTGACATTTCTTATATTCTTTTCCCTTCTCACTGATTGTCATCAAAGTGTGTGCTCGCCTAACAAGACATGAAACAACTGATACCTTTCCGCTGATAGGATGTACTGATCCGAAGTCTAAATATTTGTTGTTGGAGTGGGTTTTCTTCCTGAATATGGATATACTAAAATGTCCCTTTTCCCACCTCTCAACTGTGCAGGCAGTGTAGAAATGCTAGTTCACCGACTAGTTCATCGTTTGTATATCATAATGACGAACGATGCTCAAGTCTGTAAACTTTGTTTTGATATCATATCAGGTGTACTATTTTTACCTTTGTTATTCGGTTTAGTGATTGATCTTCATTGTTATTTCGACTTTCAATATGTCCCCCTTAACTTGACCTAACTTGTCTATTTTCTCACCTCTTAACTCTTTGTTATATATAAGCTGAGTGGATTTTGTAAATTCCGGTTTAATATTACTACTTTGATAAAGCTATTAGGAGCATTAAATAGCGAAACGTGTGTAAACACAACA